GGTCCGGAAGATTTCACGGCCCGCCGAGAAGATCCGGCGAGAAATCCGGCAGGATACCGGACCAAGACCAACATCATCGAAGACGACGATAAAGCGAGACTCCGAAGGGCGTGTTTGGTCGAGAAATGGATCGAAAAGGCCGCGCCCAAAGGGAACGCTCTGAATTCTGCAACGGACAAAAACACCGATTTGGTTTACTTCAGCTCGACGTCAAGCTCCAATTCCGACAGCTCGGGCGTCCTCTCGTCGTCCGACACCGAGTTCTTCGCCTCCCGACCCGACCCGAAGGTGTCCTGCTTCTCGACCTGGCCCAAGCCCATCCGGACAGTCGGGAAAAGCAAAAACAAAGATGATGACGATGAAGAAGAAGAAGAAAATGAGCTTATGGTGAAGTACAAATCCCGGGCCCTTAAGCTCTACTCCAATTTGAAGAAGGTGAGGCAGCCCATCTCACCCGGCGGCCGCCTGACGAGCCTCATCACCTCCATTTTCAGCGGTAGTGCGAACGGAAAGAAGTCGAAGAATGGGCGGGAGCTCCAAAAACCCACGAAGGAATCTCGGTCGGGTTGTTCTTCAGCGGCTTCCTTGTCGAGGTCGTGCCTCAGCAAGGACTCGCCGGGGTCGAGGGGTGGTGGGGCCCACCGTACGGTGAGATTTCATCCGGTGAGTGTGATCGTGGACCAAGATTCAAGGCCATGTGGGGAGAAGCGCACGTGCGGTGGTGGTGGTGGTGCACGTGGGAAGCCTCCATTGCCTATGGTTAGAGCATTGGGGGATGAATTGAAATTGGGGAAATTGGAGAAAAATAGGAAAATTGAGTTGGTGGTGGGAAATGAGAGGAAGGGGTATACTGGTAATAAATCGATGGATGATTTTTCGTTGGTTGGTCAGATTAACGGTCTGGATGATGATGGGATAAGTGACTCGAGTTCGGATTTGTTTGAGCTCGACCACTTTGCTTTGTTTGGAGATGATAGATTTTGTGAGGAGCTCCCGGTTTACGAGACTACTCGATTGGACACAAGTCGTGTAATCGCAGGCCGTTCGATTCGGTCATAATCGGTTGGGAATAAGATTTTTTTTTATGTTCTATATTCTCTTTAATTGTACATCTAATTTAATGTTTTAGTGTAACTTTTTTTTTTTAGAATATGATTTTGATCATCAAATCACACAATATCTTTGTACCGAGTGTTTTTTTTCTTCTTCTTCTTTTTCCATTTTTTTTTATCAATTTGATGATGTGAAAAAATTAAATAAAATAAAAGTGAAAAGAAAAAGGAAACATTGTGGGATTTTGTGGGAAAAAGCATGAATTGGAAGGGGGAACAAACACTGCAAAAAGACGGGTGGATCCCCAGTTGTTTAATGACAGTGACAGAGTTTTTGATAAAACAGAGGACAAAAAAGGGACAAAAATAATTAGAAAAATTAAAAGATAAAGGAAATAAAAAAAAAAAGAAAAGAAAAATGTGAAGATTTGAGATCAGAAAATGAGAAGCAAATAAATGCTTTGAGTGGTGATGGTAAAGGGAAAGACAAATCTTCCCCATGGGAATAGGGAAAAGTGATCATCTTTACCTTTTTTTTTTTTTTAATGATGTTAGAAGGAATTTTTGTTGGCTTCAAAATGATGTTCAAAACGGATCCCCATACATCCTAAGTAAAGTGGCACTTGTTTGTTTGGGTTTATTTCTCGGGTCGGTTTTGGTATGAAGCCAACAGTTGGTTCTATAGTGGAGTCAACCTTCTCATTCTTTTTACGTTCAACGTTATGCTCATTTAATGAACGAGCTTAAAACGGAATGAATTATGTTCGCAAAACGTTGGTTTAGATTAACTGCTTGAAAAATGCTATAGGTATGTAACATTGTGTACATAGAGGTGTACGCAACACTTACATTGATTGAAACCGACCAAAAATAAAAAATCAAGTGGACCTCTCACTCATTTATTATGTACTTGTAGCATTTTTCTAACTGTTTATTCAAGATTATTTGGAACTATTATTCAATCATGTCCACATGTATAGATGCAAATAAGATTTTATATGTATATGCGTGTGTATTAATATAATAAATCGATGGTATAAAATTTTACATATTAATCTTTATATTGATTGCAACAATGTAATTTTTGCATTATAGCTAATTATGAGTTAGGACCAATTAATTAAATAAAATAATATTGCTATCATTATTATAAAAAAATATTTACAAAATTATATGGTGTTTGGGTATGCCATGAAAGATAATTAGCTAACTTTAATAAAAAAAAAAACTTGTTTAATCGGTTAAAAAAAAAAACAAAATCTAAATAAATAATAGAACAAAAAGTTTAAGAATAAAGTATCGATTAATGTGACTTTATAATTAGTCAGTAACAGTTATTATATCCATACTTATATAAAAAGACATTCTATTTACTAGAATTAGTAATAAGAAAAGTCAAAAGTAATCAATGCATTCTATTTCGATCAAGTATTTTATTTAATTATTTTAGTTGATTGTTTTATCTCATAACACATTTTCAATACAACTTACCATGATTTTTTTATTTTAATTAAAAATAAAATTTTTACGTTTAAAATCTTGTGAAATTATTATTATTATAAAACACATTTGACTTTGGTCAAATGAGACAGCTTGTGGCAAGTTCTCTTTTATTTTTTTGAACTAACTCTAAATATACGTAAGCGTGAATCTTTGATGTCTTGTCAATTCAATTATCTAAATTTAACAGCATTGATTGCGCTAAATTTGTAAAAGGTCGATAGTTACGTGCACTTACATTTTCACGAGACTCTACTCATTCTTGCGATTCAAATTATATTATTATTATTATTATTATTATTATAAATTTGATAAACATGCACACATGTATCACTTTTTCATCGTTTCACCGGATGGTATCAGACCGTGATTAGAGCACGACCTCACTGGTGTTTCTTACTCACGGAGCGTGTGCAACTCAAGCCGTTAGGCTTTGCCTTTTTTTTGTACCAAAAATAATAATAATAATAATAATATCATCTTAATATATCTCATTCATTTTCAGTAAATAATGTTAGGTCAATACAATACAATAATGGCTTGTATGCACCTAAATTTGGTACCAATTTGTAGGGTGAATCAAATTAATTTCAACACATAATAATATAGAAAGAATATATAATGTCCCCTAAAGAAGTTAAGAATCACTTTTAACCTATTATTAGATTTATTGAAAGTCAATTTGTCTGTTGCTTAATTATCAAAAAATCAGTTGTATTTTTTTTCCAGTGATTGAGCTCAGAATTAATCCCGTTAAATTTTCAGCAATTTTATATACTTATAACTTAATTAACTATTTTGATTTTTAGTTAATCGTGCTTAATATCTAATAATTTTGATGTAGTCACGATGGTTTCTATTCAAAGGTACTTTTTTTTGGAAACCCAGCAATTACCCAAACAAAAAATGTGGATACCATAATTACGACACACCATATTGATGGGCAGTTATTTTTGGCAACTATCAAATACGAACTTTATGATTCCAAGTTATGGGAAGTGAGACAAAATGCATAAACGCTCACACATATTAAATGGTCTTTGGCCCGACGAACAGACCCATTTAGCTCGAAAAAGGATAGAGTTAGGGTCTTTTATTGGCAACCTGTTTAAATCCGGGCATTTTAGGTCGGACTATTTAGCCCGAAGCTTGAGGGCTAGCCCGGACACCGCTATGGCTAGCCCGTTGGTGGTATATATGTTTTTAGAAAGGTAAGGAATATGTCTTATGATTCCTTGTATATTACAATTTGCTATTCTGTTTCACATGAATTATGAGTTATAACGAGTTATTATTATTTTGAAAGATAATTATTAACAAATTTTATTCAACAACAACAACAACATACCCAGTATATTCCCAACTGGTTGGGGTCTAGAGGGTCAGTTGTACGCAGACCTTACCCTTGTGATTATACAAGGAGGTTGTTTCCGTAGCGACCCAAGGTACATTGCGTTGTTTGATATATATTTTTTTTCTAGAAACTTCACTAATAAAAGAAGCACTAGAATTTAATTGCGCCATTTTGACTAGTCCATTAATAGCACTATGCCAGGAGAATTATCAACAATGACTCTTACATTTGAATTTTAATTATAAGCTTGAACTTGAGCTCGACCTCGAGATACCTGGGGTCGACCCCTCTCAATAACAACGAGAATCCTTATCTCGCTTCTCAAGCCTCTCAAGGCCATTGAGCCACTCTACCGATGTCGAGTTAGAAGATTAACTGTTCTTACAACTCGCCTTTCCCCGAATTAAGACGAGTTGTTTTACTTGCGATAAGACAATTCTAGTTTGTATTCTTAGATCGGCATCGCCCCAACTCGACTTAAGCCCCGGTCGAATCGTTAAAGTTGGTTTGCTCGAGTATGGTTATATCAATCATTTTCCACAAAAATTAGATGTTTGCACATTTTGGTTTATTTGACTTTTAGAATCCGCTAAAAATGGTGTTTAACTAACAACTTTTCTTTGCAGTTTTTTTGCTCAAAAAGCTAAAATTCAAAATGCTACATATTGGAGCGTTTTTGTTTGACTTTTCAATTTTTTGGTACAAATAAATACTTGTGGGCAAAATTACTCCTAACTAGTATTAGACCCTGTGCATTTGCACAAATATAAATAAAGTATTGTGAGTTATTTATATGCATATAATGATTAATTATTTTTCTTTCACTTTTATCAGGCCAAATTTACAATTAAAAGAGTGGGATTTTTTTTAAAAAAAATTGCGTTTATCTAATTAGAAGTAATGTTTATTTGGGTACGTTTTTTTGTGATTTATTTATTATTTATTTAGGAAATTCAAATAAGTTTTTTATTTTTGTAAAAAAATGAATTTAATGTAACCACAATAATAACATCTAATCACATTATACGGTCAATATATAATATGGTCAACTGTTAGTAATCAAAAATTTGAAATGATTTTTGTTATTTTGAAGTGATTAGTATTGATTATTTAATAATTAAATGAAATATTAAATACATTAAAAGTAACGGTTTTTGGAGGGAAATGGTTAATTGCCACATAAGTAAAATTAAATAGATTTTATTAAATGCTATTAGCTAGTAATTATATATATATAGATTTAATGGCAAAATGTTGAAAAAGTGTACTGTTGAAATACTTGTGGACAATTTGATGGCAAAATTACATTTCAACAAAATTACAAATAATTACTTGTGCGCTATTTAATGGCAAAATGTCCCCTAATTTCGATTGCAAAATTGCAATTTTTTTTTTTTTAAAAAAAAATAGATTTGTATTCCAACATTAATTCCTAAATTCCGTTAAAATAAAATTGAAATTAATTTGGTAATAAAAAAAAAAAATCAACGTATGATATAAGAACGAGTAAGATGTGTTGTCAAAAATAAGCAAGTGAAACCCAATTATTTTCATAGTAGAACGGACGCTAACAAATATACTTGAACAAGATAGAAGTAAAAGTATGTTATTTTTATTAAAAAAAATTGAAATTAATTTGGTTTCCGAAAAAAAAAAATTGAATTCAATTTTATGGTAAAAGATTGAGTTAGATGTGTTTCCGAATAAAAATAAAAGTGAAACTGAGCTATTTCGAAGTAGAACGGACATTAAAAAATATTGCTCGAACAAGATATACGTAAAAGTATACTATTTATGTTAAAATAAAACTTGAACTAATTTTTAACAATGAGATGTGAAATCCAGAACAACATTTCACAATCACATTTCAAGAAGAAATAACTAGAATAACATGTTTCATTTTTCCTTCAAACATTTGTGTTTCACATTTCAAGAAGAAATAGCCAGAATAACATTTGTCTCATTTTCCCTTCAAATAAAAATTTCCTTATCTTCTATTTACTTTTTACATTAAGCGTAATTTAAATATATTTAGTTACTATCATATTTGTTTTTTGTTAATATTAAAATAATCTCATAAATATTTGTTTAAATAAAATAGCTAATTTACCAAATATTTTTTTTACAAACTGCTTGCACAATCAGCTGGTCAA